CTCTCTGTCTAGAAGAACAAAGCGCGATCGTTCGAACATGGCGTGTGTTGGTCTGACATTTCGGATTTTCGCCCGATACCGTCATCAGTCAAACATGTGACAGCAGTGAGGACGCTAAATCTAAGAGAACCGGCCAAACCCTTAAAGTTTGAAGAGGCCGAAATTCTCACAAGGCCTGACAACCGCCTGAGCCACGAACTGCTTGAGTCTTGATTGTCTGGTCCGCAGTCAAATAACATGCACAATGACCTCTGTGCTGAGACATCTCCCAGATAGAATAATTAGCTACGCGGGGGACGCGGCCGCCCAGAGGTTTCAATGACGAATCACAATGCCGAGTTATCATTACGCCAAGAAGCGAAAACGATGATGAAACATCGACAAGTAACGACTTGGACGAGCAAGCGTCGCGTCATGTATGACCACCACCGATGAATGCGGGATAGGCTAATTGGATTAGGCACATGGCGGCATGACAGCAGTGTCTTACAAATACCGCATCCCTGATTTCCTTATCATCCTTGCCTGCGGCTGTCTATGATGATGAATTCGAGCGAGGATCCGAAACATCAGACTAACGTCATGTTCCAATGATCGCACCTTCTTGTTATGAACTACTTCCTGGAACCCGCCTGTTCACTTCTATCCACTTCGTGTCCTGACTGACATTTTGCACCTGCTAATTCTACATCTGCTTCCACCTGTCTGTCTGCTGTTAAATCTAACTGTGCGATAGAGTGAGAAAACCCGATTGAAAGGATAGAGAGGAATGGACACCATACACATACAAACGCGGAACACGCGACTACAGTTAGACGATTGGACCTAGAAGGATGTCTACACTCGCGATAAGGAACGCCATTATTAACACATGTTATGAAACAGCACATCTATAATACAAGTCCCTTCATAGATAGCACACATTAGACGCAACTAAGACAACTGACTGTGAGAAGAGGAGATAATACCGAACTAAAATCACAGCCTAACTACAGTACTTTAGTACCAAACCTCAGAGTGAGCAGTGACCTCAAAGAATGACATGACAGGCCAGATGCCTGAGCACAAGTGCAAATATAGTGAAGCTATCACAGCTGTCTAAAACGGTGTCATTAGCCACCTATGAGATAAGTAACCCTACCTGACCCAGCTACAATACGGGCAAGTTGTTTGGACTTACACAAACTGGCTTCCTCTTCCCCCTTCTCCCCCTGTTAAGGCGGCCGCAATGGCAGTGTTAGTAGCGTCCTTCTTTGAGGCATCCTTCTGAGATTGTCCAACACCGGCAACAGCAAGATCATAGGGCGACAGGGCACCCCTAGTCCGCTGGTGGTCACTGCCATCCGTCGTGTCCGAGAGACGACGCAAAAGGGAGGAGGATGCGGAAGAGGAGGAGGAATTCACAAGAGCAGATGAGGCTGAAGGCGCTCGTGTGGGAAAGACAGCGGAGTTCGAATGAGAGGCG